ATAGCCTGTGGTGAGATGGGCGGCTATATAAATTGGTTTAATAAATAATAAATAAATAAATTTAATTTTATGTATCTATAGTTAATGAACAAAATTCAAAAATCACTAGAAGTAATTATCATTCTTATACATCAGTAAAATAAGTGATATACTGAACTTTGGCTTACCGCATCTGTGACATCAATCTCATACATTTTTTTAAATGTATCACGATCAAAAAAGAGAAGTTTTGCATTGCCATGTCCTTTCTTAACAGAAATACCAGTAACAAGTAATTTATCATCTGGGCTGAAACAACAGTCGGTCCTGTTGAAAATATAGTACAGATTAGTTTATTTTCTTGGAATCCAATTTATATATATTATTTCAAATCTTTAAAAGATAATTGTGTTTGACAACTAAAATCAAAGCAGCATTCCAAATAACCCAAACCAGAAAAACCAACAAATAGAATTTTCTCCTGAAGATTTCAACACCAGAATGAAAAAGTGTCTCATGTGTCTAGTTTACAAAATAAAGAGACAGTTTTGAAATCTATCATTCAGTAATAATTCAGTAGGCCATAATGTCTATTTCTAGCAACATGATATCCAACCATTTTGTATGACAAATGATAAACAGACCCATTTTCAAAATCGTTTTTCATGTTTTCTCTCAAAGCAATAAACAAACTCATAGATTCTTTAAAATTAATTCAAATTTGAGGTGAAAGCTAAGAGCTTATAGACAAGTAGCGAGTAAAAGCAGTATGCTAAATCAATTTATATCAAAAGCTTTAAAAGCTCTAGCGTTACCTCTAAAATCTGGGGGAGATATAATTCTTGCTCTCTGCAAGCTAAGCAAATTGGAATGAAGCCTTGGGAAAACATGGTCTCTCCCCCTCCCTTTCATCCCATGCCAATTTCCTTCTCAAGTCTCTTATTGAAAAAGGTGTAGCATGACATTTAGGCAAGTGCTCATCATGGTTAACATTCACCATAATTCCTGTCCAAAGTAGATATGGAACCAAGAAGAGCTAATACCAGTAATGGAAGATAAACATATGACCCTGCAAAGTGTTTTTCCACCCCCTGCCTTGCAAACCTTTTAAAGTAGCTACAGCCATACACTGGTGCAGGCTTTCATAGTAGCATCAATGAAGCAGTAATGAATTCTGGGGCTGAATGGTCATAGACCAAGGCCATTTGGCTCCAAAACCATCAGTGCTTCAGAGTTATAGCCATATTTATGCTGGGCATAACTTATGATATATCCTTATTTAGATAACTCAGTATTAGCAATTTAGAAAAAGAATATGTGTTATTAAAAAAAAGTAAACTGGATTTCTTTCCAGTGAAAAGATTTTTGGATCCTTAAGGTAAACTGCGTACACGTTTTCCAGCTTAACACTTCTATGATATATTGCTATACAGGGTGATTCACGTTACTACTTAATAGCCACTGAGCCCATCTTATAGAGATTTAAAACATTACCAATACGGCCTATCTCTTGAGAACTGGTGAGCCACACCAAACTTTAACATATGTTGAGTTCAATCCATGCAAACTTGATTCAGAAAATGTCTCTCCACTGAACTAACTTTGATCTATTTTTGCACTTCCCTCTTCACTAAAAATTATGAAGCTACTTACATGGGGAAGAAACTAGGTAGGCCACTGATAGAATTAAGAGGTGCTTTAAATTGTCTGATGTCCCAGGTTTTTAAGGTATCATCACCTATCAAATAACAAATATCCAATATCCAATGGTTAAAATGGAATTTATTATATTAAAAAGCAAAAATATTAATTCCTGCTTCAATCCTTTCAATGATTTTCACCATCAAAAGCTTTGGTCCAAGAGGAACTATAAATAATATACTTAGAGCAGTTTCAGAGAATAAATAAAATAACACTTATCATAAATGAATACAATTCTAGTTCAAAATTAGCAGAAGATTCTGGTTAGTTTAAAATTAAAAGCAAAGGCTTTCTAAGCCTCCCTTGCCAGCACAAAAGAGGAGAAGGGAGGGATTCATGTGATTTAGGGAGGAATTCAGATTCATTCTTAGAGGAGAAAATTGTAATTTCCCATTATACTCAAATGGGACATAAAATCTCTCCAAAATCTCTGTATTGGGGATTGACTCCCAGCAACCCTGGATGACATGAACAACAGCAGGATATTAAGGGTTATACTGTAGTTCAGTGTTTATATTTATATTTATTTATGTTTCAAATTTGTCACTGCCCATCTCACTGCAGAGCGACTCTGGGTAAAAAGAATAAATATTAGTTAAAATAGAATAAATATGAATTAAAATACATCACAGTGTTATTGGAAAGGCTGCAGTTTCCCCAATCCCATTCTGTACTGCTCAGTGCCAATTCCTCTAAAGCAGTGTTGTCCAAACTTGGCCACTTTAAGATGAGTGGACTTCAACTCCCGAAAGTGCTGGGTGGGGGATTTTTGGGGTTTGAATGCACTCATCTTTAAATGGGCCAAGTTTGGGGACAACTCTTTTTGAGGGATG